ACAGGAGAAAAAACGTCTTGCGAAATCGTCAAACCCATCAATTGTTTTGTATTGAGAAAACTTTCTTTGTCATTTGATCGATGGCCCCTTGTCCATTAGGGCCTTTAGAAGTTGTCCTTTTATTTATTGTATATTTTAACAATAAATGCAAAGTTTGATAAGAAACTTTGAATTTGTTGTAAAATAAATAACTATTAATCATGTAAAAGCCTTGTTACATCAATAGAATTTCTGAGATAATAAGCAGCTTTGGCAAAACTAAATTTTATAACATTTGTATGTACTAGCGACTCACCCTCGCTTCACTCGGGTGCACCCATGGGTGTCAAACAGTAGCCTATATATTACTCTATGTTATTGTCTAACTATCCCATGTGTGTTCACCTTGTCTCAGCTCATTGGCATCCGGTAATTTAGCCGTGCGTAAAGAGATACACTGGTAGGTGGGTCACTTTAATGGGCAGTATACCTACCATGCAGGTTGCTCCTGGTGCTTCTTTGATACAAGAGTGTACCGTGAGAGCAACCACATAGTTGTTATGGTCTGCCACGGCAAGTGAACCGCCGGGAGGTCGTGGTTGAGTGCGTAAGCGATCCTGCAACGCCCCATTTTTTTTATTAGAAGAGTCGAATTCTTCTCACATGATAGTCAGAATCCTTTTTTAACCAACTCCCAAAAAGAAGGAGGTTCTCAATTCTTCGGAATCTTTTTTTTAATGTATATTCACCGATTACTCGAAGACGCCTGAACCGACTTGGATTTTTTTTTGTTTTAAGGGTATACCTTCAAGGTGGTCCCATATAAATTTTGTCGAAATCTGTCGAGCGGTTTTTTAAGAAAATCAACAATATTTTAAATAAAACTATGAGAGAGCGTCTCTCCCGTGGCCATGATTGCTGTAAAGCATTCGAAACGTCGGGAACCAAAAATCAAAATAAATCCGCAAAATAATCCGAAAAAATAGTTTTATTTACAATGTCAAATATTCGCGTAAATCTAAAATCAAAAATATTAAATAACATTTTTTTTAAATAAATTGCTTAATCGAACATGTTATTGAAAAACTTTCTTCTTACAAATTACCAGCTTATTACGTCTACACTAAAAATGGAAAAATAAAAACTTTTTAAAAACAAAACGGCCTTCCAGACACTAAAATTCAAAAAATAACTAAACAGGGGTTTTCATTTAGAATAGATACCTAGTCAAATATTTTCGAAGTAGGTGCCAGCCGACAATATTTTAAAATATGAATATCTAATAGGTAAATATGTAGTTTACGTATCGAAATATATCACATTTGCTTTGCATAGGCTATTCTAAATTATTTATTAGATGGTGTGGTGCATTTGCTTATTTTTTTTGTGAACACTTCTTTTGATTGCTTATTCTATGCTTGTACAGTTACAGGGTATTTAGTTGATATTTTATTTATTTCCTATTTGTTGGCTGGAATAATGGGTCCTGCAAGAAACGCTTCCGATTGAAATTCAATTTGCAGGCGCTAATGTTCAATTCAAACAAGTTATTTATTAAATTATTAAAAATTAACTCTACATAAAAAATTTGAATTTCATTTTTTTCTTAATTTTTTAGTAGATATGTTTTTAATAAATATTAACACATTGATAAACAAAATTTAAAAAAATGCAGTGATGTTAAACAAATGTAACTCGAGCTTTATATAGAAATGGATTATTATTGTATAAATATCTCTTATCAAGCGAAGAAACTTAAAAAGAAATTCTGAACAAAAAATACAAAAATGTATCTGGCATTTTACATAGCCAATCAAAGCGAGATTGCAAATGTAAGATTAGTTGCAGACACAGCGCAATGGCGGCTAGGCTTGCTGAAGGTGCCAATATATTTCCTGACGCTTGAACGGTCAGGTAATTGTGGTTGAAACTTATCTCAGAGAGCGAACGTGAAAAGAATACTAAACAGACCGTGGTTCTTGTGCAAATTATGAATGTTCTCGATGTTTACCTTTCTACAGCAATCATTTGTTCAGCGAGTTGACTTAATATGCCATCGAGAATTCGACATAGTAAAATCATACTAAAATTATAAAAGCGAAACCGAATTTGGTAAACCAATTAGTTAGTGAATGAGTAATTTCATTATAATTTCCTAATGTAGTTCATGTACTGACACGTGAACATAAATAAGTACGTTGTTAGTCAACTTATTTGTTTCAGAAATATAAAATCAAAACAATATTGAACTATTGCTTCATAACTTTATTATATATTTGATTTTAATAATCTAAAGATATAGAAAGTATTTGCAAATGACGTAGGGAGCTTACGACACGCCGCTGTCATTGCACAAAAATAAAAAATAAATTCGCGCCGACCACGAGGTTTTCCAATGACCCACACAACGATATTCCACTCGGTGAAATATGTGAAGTATACTTGTTTTTTTTTTATTTTATAAAATCTAGGTATATAACGGTTGCGGTGTATCACTTCGATGGCCGCCTGTAATTTAAACTGAATTTTTATTTTACACAATTGCACAGTAAATAAGGCTGTTTAACGGGAAATAAAAAGTTTAAATGTTATATTAAGTTTGAGTAGTCTACATAAGAATGTTGAGTTTGTGTCAAGAAGTGATGTTTTTTAACTTTTTTCACAAGTCGCCGCGAGTCTCTGTTAAGTATCAAAGGTTGCTCGAATCTCACTGACGTAGACTTTGTTCAAGTTATTTACTTTAGAGCGCGCTCATTAGCTAAATGACCGTGTCTTATTGAAACAGTAATCAAAAAGGGGACCTAAATTTGTAATGATCTTTTAGGAAAACTTGCCAATTTATAATAAGAATTAAATATCGGATAATAAGAATTGAATATTTGATAAAAATGTTTCTAACTTTTATAGTAATAATTTACTTCATTTAATTTACTAAAGATTATTTTACAGATGGTTTTTTAAACATGCATATTAATTTTACGAACGTTAATAGATTTTATTCAATGTTACTTGTTTATATAACGTTAAATTCAATTCAGAATGCAAATCTATCAAGTGGAATTTTCCTGTAAAAACAACAACAGCGTGTTCTCTTTGGATCATATACATTTGTAGTGTGCTTCGAATTTATTTGTGTGTGGAACAGTTGATAGTTTTTAATAGCATTTGGAAGGTTTTATAAATGCACTCACATAAAATAATATTGTTTCACCTTTACATCTAACACTCGACGGGCATTCATAGTGGCTAGTATGTTCAGCTGCATATCTGAAGATCTTGGGTTCGAGTCGGAGGCTGCTATTGGGTTTTTCTGTCAAGAAATTTTCAGTAATAGCCTGAATTTGGAATCCACCTCTGTGTCTCGGAGAGCATGTATAGCCGTCGGTTCTGCGCCTGAACTCTTTCTGTGTACATTATTTCATGCGCATTAGGGTAAGAGAGCATCATTACAAATAATATGAATGCGAAAATTTAACATAGATTATGACAAAAATGGCATCGGCTCGTTATTAAAAACTTAGTATATAACTGTAGTTCTTTATAATTCGATAATGTGATCTATTTTTCAAACATTTACTGAAATTTTTAGCCAAAGTTTTAGCATGCCTATTTAATTTTAGCGACGATAGTAAAATATTAAATTCAATTCTCTTGTTAATTGAATTGAATATTTTATTCTCGTTGCTGAAATTATATATGTATGCTATAACTTTGGCTAAAATTGGTACTGTGGAGATGACGCGAGTGGTGTAGATAGATAGATAACTACACCTGTACCGTCTTCTTCATTGAGCGAAGCGTCATCGTCATCAAATGAAACAAAAAGACATATATTACAAAATAATCTAAAGTAATACGCAGTTCCTACATGAGTTAATGACAAACAAACATATAATAATAGTTTAGAACACGCATAATATTTTTGCGTCGTTTACTAAGATGGTTAAGTCACTTAAAATGTTTTACAAAAGAATAGTCATTACATTCAAAGGTTCAAGTTACAAACGATCCAACTTGATCTTTGCTTTTGCAGTGCAAAGGCTATAAAGCTCTTTCAATTCATAGTAAATATTTTACTTTATGTTTTTTATTCAAAGTAAATTTAATAGGGAAATGGAAAATTTAAATGAAATAAGTGTATATTATTATTTACGATTAATGAAAGTTTTATTACCTCTAACATTAGGTACGAGTATATGACGATTGAAAGGAATGCTAGTCATACAGTGTCACTGGATGTAGTGAAGTTTTTCTTATAGTAAAAGAAATAGTGACTCAATATTAAAAACTATGTATTTGTTAGATAAAAATATAGATAGCTAACAGATAAAAAAACAACTAATTTAAAAAAATTCTCATATTAAAAATACCTTGGAAACCTGAATATCATATGCAGACCATATATTTCTTCAAAATATGAAGTTTAAAATATTTTTTTAAACAATCAGGATGAAATGGTTTATACGTTTTATATCTCTATACGAGTGACCGCGGCTGTAACGAAATAACTGAATTCAATACATGCACAATTTTAAATCACATTGGTTTTTAAACCAGTGACTTTTATTTACTGAGGAAATTTCAATACTGATTTATTTTATTTTGTTTATAGGTACTGATTAAATCTTTTTACATGATCATTATTTTCATAAAGTACATGTGAAATACGCTTTATTTTCGTAGAACCAATATATACTTGTTTATTAAATACGTAGTTGAAAAACAAACATATTTTAATATAACAGCAAGACTACTTATCATAAGTAATCATATAATTAGTACGCACAAAATAACAAATAGGTACATTAAAATAAGACTCTAAAATCTGTACCCCAAAACAAAGTGGCATTTTGTAAATCAGTTTTATTACAGCGAATAAACAAGACAAGAAACCGCTTTCCAATTTATCTGAATACCATAAATTACAGTGGCAATGAAATAAATAAGACGTAATGCCGATGCAGGTTAGATTCTCCCGATCATTGCTTAGTTGGCTTGGCAGTGATTGTAGCAATTATTCACTTCACCGCTTCCCCTCGCTGCCCGGCCTCTGACACTTCTTTAACGGCGGCGCTTAATACCGACACCGGGGTAAACAAACCTTCACCGACTCCATTCTTAAAAGACAAAGCTCTGAAAACATAAAAAGGTGAATAAATACTAAGAAAAATTGATTTTTGGAGTTCGCTCTAAATAAATTACTTTTAAAAGCTATACGAATTATAAATTACTTTTAAAAGCCATACGAATATGTACATGATAGAAACATATAAGCAAGTAGTTACTTTTGCGTGGAAAGTACGATAATAGAAATGATAAGGTGCATCCTTGTATACCTATGGCAATAGTGTGTAAAAAGAGTTTGTTAATTATTGTTAGAGTTCATTCTCTCTATAATGAATGAAATGAACTCATTTTATTGATTTAAAAAAAATGTTTTAATATGAACAATCGGGCGAAAGTTAGCGTACCGGGGTTCGTTGCACCAAACATTTAATTTGGGTTATATTTTAACATTCATAATCATTGCTATATATTTTATAGTAAAAAGAGAAATATCAGAAACTACTGTATCGATTTTAATGCGCTTTTATCCGATTTTAAAAAAGTAGATGATCAATTCGACACGTATGTATGTAATATTATAAGAACCAGGGCTCGGAAAACTGTTCAATTTTTAAACCGGTTTTAGAACTTGATCCCAAACCAGAAGGCTTTTAGGTTTAAGGTATCAGTTATGTTCTTTAAACAGTTAAATCCGGGAGAACGGTTTTTGACGAATTTAGATTCCATGAACGAAATTAACCGGTTAAAACGAGTGTTTGTGTGTTTACATTTGGCGTGTCTTTGTTTGGTTTGACGTTTCATACTTATGAATAAATTAACCTATTTATTTCGGTATCAAAACCGAAATCCAACCGTAAGAATAAGCGTTAACCATTATTATTTTGGTTTAGTAAACCATTCGTTTTCATTAACCGGTTAAAGAACAAGCGATCAATCAATCATTACATTACGGGAAAAAACCGTTTTTTTTTTAAATCGGTTCCGAGCCCTGATTGGAACTGCCAAATATTCACATATGATAATCTATTAGGGCTTCCAAACAAATATACATAATTTTATTTGTGTATTGTGCATGTATGTACGTCCACGTATATCTCCGAAAACAGTTATCAGATCGTGATCATTCTTTTTCATTTTGTTAATTTATTTCAACTTAGGAATAATAAAAATTTAATCAACGTCGGTCCAGTAGTTTTTATGATATGGACTAAAACGTGTAACTAAAACTGAAGAAATAGTTTTTGTAATTGTTATTACATAAACTATTTCAGTGTTTACTTAAAACTAAAAATTACAAAATAAAAAAAGTAATTTAAAAAAATTAAACAAACTTCAGGAAAATATACTTAAAAGTAAATAAAAAACTGAACGTAGGTTTTCAGTTACTATAGATATATAATCAGAAATTTTCAAAGTCGGAGCCAACCGTCAATGCTTTCAGATATTAATATCTAATAGATAAATGTGACAAAATATGAACTCTAATTATAGTTAAAATATTATATATCAATTTGTCATGTATGCATTTATATATCGAAATAGATTTGCTTTGTTTGGCATCGGCTGGCACCGAATTCGAAAATATCTGACTAAGTATCTATAATAAATGAAAAGCCCTGTTCAATTATTTTTGACTTTTTTTTAAGTCGGTTTAATTTTGTTTAAATTATTCACCAATAGAAAGAATTATATAATTTTACAATTTTACGAAAGTAAGCTACCGATATAATGATATTTATGATTAAGTCGAAAAAAAATGTCCCTTTTTAGAGCTTCCGTAAAAAAATATAAATGCGAAGGGCATCTAAAGGCGGGGATGTGCCTCACTAGTTTTATCTAAAATAGGTTTATGTATAATAGGTGTACTTTATGGTATGTTTCAAAGATACTATAAAAACAAAGATGATTTTGCAACATAAAGATGATTTAACAAAGCACAAAACTTTAAATAATTAGATTTTATAACTACGACTATTATTTTATAATGAAAAATAAAAACAAATCTATCCCACGGAAACCGTACATTCTTCCGGGATAAAAAGTAACATATGTGCTATTCTAGACTATAATATATCTCTGTGTCAAATTTTATCCAGATAGTAAGAAGTAATATTTGGGAATGAATATAATGATAACGTTAATATCAATAAAGACTACTATAATCTCTTACATGCAAAGGATACTTCAAGGAGATAATAAAAGTATAGTATTTAAAAAAAAAACATAATAATGAGTTTAATTAAAGGAAAATCTTTATTTAAGAATTGACAAGGACCATTACGCTGCATTTACTGAGAACTGAATCACAATACCCTAGACATTTTTACATATGCTTAATGCTTTTACAAATTTACTTCATTCTTTCTAATACTTATTATATAGTATGCACGTGATTTCAAAATAAGCATTATAATCTTGAAAATATTTCGGAACGGACTACTTATGGTAAAAACGAACAAAGGAATAAACTAACCTTCGAGTGCATCGTATTGATTGAGCTTCAGTTGGCCGCAATATGGAAGATTTGTTGAGAATAACGGTTGAGCAGATAGCTCGAGTGGCCATTACAGATATCATGAGCTTGCTACGATCGAGCCCATCCATACCTACATCTCGCTCGAGTTTCCCCTCGCAATGGATCCTGGATGTGTTATACACCGTAGCGTAATCTGTATTATATAAAATTCAACTATTTAAATACAACTTGTCTCCAAGAACATAACAACACTATCGCTGTTTTAATACATTAGATTTGGTAATGGTAAAACGCCGCTCACCTTATGCTAAGTTGGTTATACTTAACACAAAAAATCTATTTTCTGCTTGTTTTAAAAATTTTAAAGGTATATAATTAATACTTTCTTAGATTTACGCGTATATTTGACATTTTAAACAAAACTATCTTTTTGGATTTTTTCGCGGATTTAATTTGATTTAAGTCCCCGACGTTTCGAATGTTTTACAGCAATCATGGTCGCGGGAAAGACTAAGGTATTAGACGACACAATGGAGTAATTAAATTTAAATTCTAGGTCGAGGGCATTCTAAATGGTTCCTGAGTTATTAATGTACGATATTGAGGGTAATTTAGATAAGCATAATATGCAGTAAAATAGATATTATAGATATGTGTATAATATTATAGCATTATTATTGCGAGTTATGTACTTTACGCATCTAATAACATAAAATATTGATCGCTTAAATGCGAATTTCCTTTTGTCAATCTTTCTAACATACTTTTTTTCAAAATGAAGTAGATCTTATTACGATTTAATCACAATTAAGATAGAAAATAGGTTTGCTTTTTTATCTTTTAAAAATCGGATAGCCATTAAGAGCAAGCAGTTACGTTGGTATTCTCAAGTTATTTTTTTTATTTGTAAAAAGTTGCATTCATGGCCCTAACGGTCTACAAGTTTGTGGTAGACAGGACGCGTTGTCTCGCATTTATATGATAGCAATGAATGTAAAGTGAAACGCAATGCTAGCGAAGTTGATATCTATTTTATTTCCGATATATGCGGTTTCATTTTTTAGAATCGAATGCACTCTGGAGCTAGTTTACTTATTTAAGGTATTATTGACATATTATTATGTTTTTTTTTACATTTATTAGTGTTCGCCCAGACGTCGAAACTCTGGCTGACAAACAGAGGATTAAAAGTTACTGCACTATTCTGTCTTTGCCTATTAGTATTTATATATTAGATATATACATATTTTTTTATACATTAACTACAAAGAGGTATAAATAATAAAGTAATTTAAATAAATAAAACGTTAGAGCTAAGTTAGTTTAATTGAAGCGTTGACGCTGCTGCTGGCATATTCAGTCTATAGTATCGTGTACATACATATATCTCTATAGTCAGGTGAACGGCGAACTCACGGGAATCGCTATTTTGCGCACGTTCGACATCCGATAAAAGTTTCCGCCACAATCACCTAAGAGCTCAGCTGTCAGGGAATAACCGTATATCGGTTTTGTTTCTGCGTCCCCTAGCTATGAACATCGTGAAGTTCTTGCATTCATTTAGCTTTTCTTATTAATTTCATAATAAATAATATATTATAGTTAATTGAATGGTATTTTTTTATAAAAATAATTAATATTTAAAGTGTTTGGGATTCTTATAATAATGATATTTCTTTTGATACATACATAAATCTATCTTATTAGAAAATTATCTTTGGTGGCCATATTCAACGACCCGTTTTATTTTAATATGCAAATAGTAAATTGTCCATGGAGACTCTCTAGCATGCGACCTATGATGCATAAAACAGTGCTAGTTAGAAATAATTTAAAGAAAGTTTTCAAAAAATATATTTTAAAACTTTTTTTTTTATATTACCGTATAATAAAGTAACAAACATTACGTGAAAAACTTAAATTAAAGTAAGATGTATTTCTAATTCTAAACGTAACTGTCGTATAATATTAAATGAACTATACTAGGGATATTAAAGTTTTCTTTTGTCGCGTTGCAAAGTCGGCGTACTTATGAAAGCTTGAACGGGAAACTTTGTCCGTTTACGCCGCACTAGTTAATCGAAGAACTAGTATGTATCGTAAATATTTTATTAAGAAAAATAGCTTCATTTTAAGTTCATAGGTATTTTTAACGAACTAACTTCTGCGAAGTCTCTCGTCTTCATTTTGTTTGCACATTATCATTAATAATAAACATATCCCCTGTTTTTGCTATATGAATAACATCAATGAAGTCAGAATAGCTAAAACTGTTACTTTAAAACTTAACACTCTTTGACATAAAATATATATGTACTAGAAATAAATGATGAGCGATATATGAAATATTAAGTTGATTTAAAAACTTAGCCCACTTTCTGTTGGTGTATGTACAGTTAGATTAAACATTCATATTATTGTTTTCAGCGAACACTATCTTCATTCGTAATCTTAAAAAGTATTGATGTTCTCCTCATCATTCCGGCCACGGCGGCCAATCTCACAGAGATGAGCCAACTACGCAGGAGATATTATAGTGCACAAGTGTACGCGCAGACACAAGTGCACTCTCTATTCCTGTCACTCTCATCTCTGGTGGGACGACCACTCAACACGACCAGTGAGAGTTAAGGCTCAGGACCGACAGCTTTACGTGCTCTCCGAGGCACGGGGGTGAAACACCACCAACTTCCCAATTCCGAGCTGTTCCTGAGGCTTACTATACAGAAAGACTCAATAACTAAACTTGGCCCGACCCGGGACTCAAACCCAGGACCTCCGGGTGTGCAGCCGTACATGCTAGCCACTACACCACCGAGGCAGTTAAAAATGTAAATGACACAGAAAAAGTAAAAAATCTTGAATTAACAATATTTTGTAAGAAGTAATATTCATTGAAAAAGCTTTTCAATTCTAAGTCATCATTATAATTTCATTCGTGGAAATTGACAATAATCTGACCTGAACGGAAATACCTCATCACCATTTTATTTTATTTTCAGTAAAGCTATTTCATCACTATGGATATTTAAATATACGTATTTAACGAGAAAGTGAGATAACATTAATATTCTAGAGCTTGAGATATAACTTAAGTCAGTTCTTGCTTCAGCCTTTATCATGCGGGAGCGACGACCAACTAATCGTCTACCATCCAACCATCTCTAGCGACGCAAATGTAGCAACGATATTTGTATCTTTTGGCATGGAGACTTCGGAACCATGGGTGACAGAGGCGCATTGTTTGTATGTATTCAGCCCTTTTTTAACATCCCACTGCTAGGCACGGGCCTCCCTTCCATACGAGGGGGATCGGCCATAGTCCACCACGCTGGCCAAGTACGGGTTGGCGGACTTCACATGTCTTTCGAAAACTTGCTAGTTGCTAGGTTCTCTAAGACATGCAGGTTTAATCACGATTTTTTCCTTCACTTTTCAATTACATTCTACTTTGAGAGATAAAATCCTGACATTGACTACAGACATTGATCTATCCTGACATTGATTACATTCCAAAAGTCGTGGTACAATTATATAAAATACTTTAGGCAAAAAAAGAATTCGTACTTATTGTCATAAAATTTGCTAAAAGTACTTTTAAAAATGCTACTTTTAATAATTCTCAGTCATTATTGCAGGATCACTAAAATGTTAATAAAATGTATGAAACCTATCCTATATCCCTGCAATATAAGAAAACCTTTATAAATGAAAATAGGCATTCACACCCGGAACGCCTTTACAACATTCAGTCGTACTTTATTGAGCCTGTTCGAGCAAATAAATCGACTCCTTGGCAAATTTTCCACACATTTGCGTATTTTATCATACTTAATGTAGTATACATTATTAAAAATCGAAATTATTTCAATAAACACATAGCAATAAAATATTATTAAAAGTTTTAAAATAAATTTAAACCCTTTTAAAGTCCAAAACTGCAATAATATGTAAATTTTAAGTGCAAAATAGTACAATTCTATTTATCTAATGTAAATGTAATTACATTTTCAAGTTTACAAAGACGACAGTGCTCAGTTGGTAAATTTACAGCTGGACCTATTCCCCGAGGAGCAGGATAAATGAGATGCGAGGTAGCGATACTAATTATCCCATAGGTAGCTCCGGTCTCTGGTTGGGCTCGCACTAAATCTTCTCACTGCGGTGAAATCTTAGTATTAATGTTAAATAATGAACTAATGACTTCTATAATTTATCATTATATTCAACAACAAGTAAAAAGAGTAAGAATTATATTAAATTACAAAAAAAAACAAGACATTCTCTACAGCTGATAACGATTACCTAAATTTCCACGAACATGATACATTTTGCGAAAACAGAACAGTTAATAGACGTATGGATGCCATAATTGAATTAAGTTTGCAAAATAACGTAGCGTCAGATAACTGTGTTGCTATTGAAATCCAATAGAAAATGTGCACAGACAAAGCTTAGTTTAACGAGGCATTCGGAGGCGACAGAGTCGAATAATTGCGGGAAACCCAATGACGAGTGGTGTACAGCTTTTCGCTATGGCGGTATGTGCAATGTATTTAATATACCTATAATAGATTCTTAATTAAAATATTCTTTGAATTAAAACTCACAACTTGATGTAAGGATGCACTAATAGTATTAAGGAAACATCGGTGAATGGAAATGCCTAGAAAGTAAAAAAAAAATGCAGTTTCCAAGGAAATAAGTAACATTTTTTAGATTAAGACTCTTTCAATATCTTTCATTATGTACAATTATTGTATTATAAGAAACTTGAGAGTGTAGGAAGTAGATACCTAATTTTATGTCTTATATTTCTGTGTTAACTTTATTCTTTCGTTTTATATAAATTAACAACTTTTGATCAATCTTTTGAAAGTAGTTTGGCAGTGGTAGCCCAGTGGTAGCGCTCTCGCTTGGGAAACCGAGTGAAGCAGGTTCAAATCCCGGGTCTCGCACGTCTGATATTTTTATGTACGAATCATTTCTAACATGATTACCACTTGCCTTACGGTGAAGGAAAATAATGTGAGGAAACCCGCATGTCTAAGAGAACCTAGCAAGTTTTCGAAAGATATGTGAAGTCCGCCAATCCGCTTTTGACCAGCGTGGTGGACTATGGCCTGATCCCCCTCGTACTGAAGGGAGGCCTGCAGTGCCCAGCAGTAGGACATTAAAAAAGGGCTGAGTACAAGATCAATCTTCACCAGTGGAATTGTTGACCTTTTAAGTATTGCGTAGCATCATATTTATATCCAAACATTATGGTCTGATATGTTTTGAAATATTCATATAATTTTATATTATTTAAAATACTTCTGCCTTTACTATATACTAGCGACTCACCCTCGCTTCGCTCGGGTTCGTCCCTAGATTGATGCCCCATACAAACTTTCATCCCCATTTTCATCCCTTTAAGGAAGGATTTCCAAGATAAAAGTATCCTGTGTCCTTCCCAGGGTCTTAAACTATATTTTTACCAAATTTCATCTAAATCGGTTCAGTAGATCCAGAGATTACCCCTACAACGACACAAACTCACAACCTTACAAACTCACAAACTTTACCTCTTTATAATATTAGTAGGTATAGATTAAATACTAAAGACTTAAAATAAATAGTACACAAAGTTACTTCATGTTTTACTATGTTTTATTTGTTTTGTAATAACGCTTAACAAGAAATGGAAAATATTACTAGGCAACGTGTCAAGGGAATCCGATTCCGCCCCAGAGCCAACAATGGATTTAATCAAAGTGAAATAAAGTTAAGTAAAAACGAGATAGTTATTTCTTGCTAATAACACCTGAGTAGCTTATTGAAGTAATTCTTGTCTTTAATTAATTCATAAATTAATTGTTTTTCTATGTTTATTATGTTTCGTCTCGTAACTTTAATAAATAAGAGAAAAAAGAAACAGTTGAAAAGACACACTAATTAGTGTTTATAATATAATTTATATTTAGTTTATTTTAACAATTAGGTACGTTTATTTAATATTATATTTTACTATTTTATAATAGAGTTATAATAGAATAAACATAAAAATAAAATAATATATGTAATTTTTACTACTTTTTATTAAGATTTTATGAAGTGACGCATCCGCTTAGCTTGCATAAGCGAATGTAGGGGATACTAACGAGTAAGTTACATTCGGAAGAAACATCACAGATCGATCAAGGCTATCGTTGTTTAATTTATTATATAAAAAATCCTTTGAATTTAAAGGAGAAAAAATTAAATAAAAACCCGACTGCGTAAAAAGTGAATTAAAAAGAAGAGAACAAGTTGACGAAGGAACAAAGGACATAGTATTATGCAGTCGGAGCAGGGCCGGTTTATCCATAAGGCAGTTTTGGCGACTGCCTAGGGGTACCGTATTGGTTAGGGCCCTTACGTATCGAGATTTTTTTTGAAAATGTTAGATTTTTTTTGATGACATTTGAAATCTACCTAATAGCGTAATATAACCTAACCTAAAAGCGAATATAATTCCATTGTGATAGAAAAAATGTTCTATCAATAAGTTATCAATAAGTAAAAAAGATGAAGGGGCCCCGAGAATTGCGTTACCTAGGGCCCTCGATATGTTTAATTCGGCCCTGAGTCAGAGACATACACACACGCAGCTAGTCTAAAGCATATACGTGCAAAATTTCTATCCTAAATTACTGTATAACATTTAGCCTCTTAAAAACCGATATGTTGATACCCCATTCTAATTATTCGGATAAATATTTTTTAAAGACTCACAAATTGCCGTCTAGGATCCGCCATTTTGATTTTTAATGATATCTATATACCTTATAATACTCGCATTATCAAGACGAATTGTGATTCAAAATCGGTTAAGCAATTACAAGAGAATATAGGATCGCACATACATACGCATACATACATACAGGTCAAACACATAACCCTCTTTTGGGCTTCATCGCAGTCTGGTAAAAAGGAAAAATTTAAATTACACATATTAGCGAGAATATTTATAATTGAAAACTCAGTAAAATGTAATAATATTTTTCATGACAGCAAAATGATTACTTTAATTTTTTATAATATTTACCTACTTCGCTTAACTTTCTTAAAGTTCTTTGAATATCTTGAAATGCATATTCACGAAGCCTCGAAAATGTTTACAAACACGACTGTTTTAACATACTCACTAAGAGCTTTATATTAACCTATTTAATGTA